AAAGACTTCCAAAGAACTAGTTTGAATGTTCTGAAAGCATAAAAATTTTAAGTCTCCTGGTAATAAACTTTTCCTATTAAAATACATCTTAAATTTTTTTCTTTTTTAGGATTTAAATGCTTGAAGAAAAATTTGAGAACATGATCATGTTTTATCACTTACATTTTCTAGAGAGCATTTTGAGATGGTACCATAGGCAGCTAGGTGGTACAATGGATAAAGTGTCAGACTCAGAGTCAGGAAAATGAGTTAAAACCTAGTTCAAATGAAATAGCTGTGTGACCCTCTACAACTCACTTCATTTCCATCTGCCTCAGTTTTGTCATCTGTAAAATGGATATAATATCTTCCAGGGTTGTTGCAAGGATAAAATGTGATAATAATTTTACATTGCTTTGCAAACCTTAAAGTGTCATATAAATGCTGAAAAAAAGATAGCAATAGATTGTTGGGTGGCTGGATAAAGCACTTACTATATTCCAGGCAGCGTGTTAAACACATGCTGTTATGCTGGAACTATGAGGTTGTTGTTGTTTGTCCTTTATTCTTAAAGAGGATCATGACATCAGGAAAGTGATGCTATGACTTGCTATGATTTAAGTGAGGGAGAGCTGTGCAAAGTCACCAGCCTCTCTTTCTCCTCCAGAGCCACCTGGGTCCAGTCGACAGAGATAGATCAGGACTACTGGAGATGGCCCAGGATGCAGTGGGGAGGGGGTGCGGAGATGGGGGGCATGTATGAGGTATAAACAAATAATACTATCTATCCTACATCTTTATATTCATAATGATTCATAATGAATCATTAAAATTAGACTTACCATTCAATTCAACAAAACTTTTTAAAAGCACTTGCTATGTTTGAAGCACTGTAGGAGACTCTGGGGTAATAGAAAGTTTAAAATGAGACATGAAACTCCTGTCTAGAGCTTATGATCTGTCTGAGTGGGTGTGTGTATGTAGGAAGTATTGACAAATAGTTATAATAGAATACAAGCCATATACCACATCCCACCTGTCAGGTTGGCTAACATGAAAAAACAGGAAAATAATAAATGTTGGAGAAGATGAAGGAAAATTGGAAAATTAATGCATTGTTGGTGGAGTTGTGAACTGATCTAACCATTTTGGAAAGCAATTTGGAACTATGCCCAAAGGGCTATAAAAATGTGCATACCCTTTGACCCAGCAATACCACTTCTGGGTCTGTATCCCAAAGAGATCATAAAAATAGGAAAAGGACCCATATGTACAAAAATATTTATAGCAGCTCTTTCTGTAATGGCAAAGAATTGGAAATTGAGGGGATGCAATCAACTGAGGAATGACTGAACAAGTTGTGATATATGAATGTAATGGAATACTATTGTGCTATAAGAAATGATGAGCAGTCAGACTTCAGAAAAACCAGGAAAGACATATATGAACTGATACTGAGTGAAGTGAGCAGAACTAGGAGAACATTGTACACAGTAACAGCCACATTGTGCGATGACTAACTTCAATAGACTTAGCTCTTCTCAGCAATGCAAGAATCTAAGACATCTCCAAAAGTCTCATGATGGAAAATGCTATCCACATCCAGAGAAGGAACTATGCAGTCTAAATACAGATTGAAGCATACTATTTGCTCTTTTTTTTTCCTCTTTTGTTTTGTTTCTTCTTTCTCATCATTCCTCCTATTGATTCTAATTCTTCTTTACAACATGACTAATGTGAAAATAGGTTAATAGGAATGTATATGTAGAGCCTGTATCAGATTGCATGCCATTTTGGGGAGGGGGAGAAAATTTAAAACTCAAAAGCTTATGGAAGTGAATGTTGAAAACTAAAAATAAATTAAGAAAAAAAGAATATAAACCACTGAGCAAAACATTATAATATAATAATATAATGATATATATAATATATTATAATAAATGTAAATATAAATAAAATAATATATAAACAATAATATAATAATGAAAATTATAAGAGGCTCAAGAAAAAAAGAAGATTTTCATTGGTGACTGATTTCAGAGAGGAATTGGCATCCTAGCATTAGGGAATGGCATAGACAAGGACAAGGAGAAAGGAGAGTGGAAGTATAGTAAGTAATTGAGCTTGGTTAGAGCATAGAGTACATGAAAGAAAAAGTGTTAAGAGATGAATCTGGAAAATTATGGTGGTACTAGAATGTGAAATACCCAAATAATGAGTTTGGATTTTATTTGATACTTACTAAGAAGCCAGAAAAGAGTTTTTTAAAGAAGTGTGCATGATCAGATTTATGAGCGCACAAATGTGTGAAGTATCTGTGATTTCCTCAACATAGGAAACTCGTGACTTAATAGATTATAGGATCACAGCTGGAAGGGACCTTAAAGGACATCTAATCAACTCCCTCCTTTTAGTGATGGGAACTGAAGTCCAAAAGATAAGTGTTAGAGCCTCAATCAGATAGAGGTTATTGGACTTGCCCCGGGTTGCACCCAATAACCATCAGAGATGAGCTCTTTCTGACACAAAGCCCAACACTCAATCTGCTGTCATGTTGCCACTCTAGACTTTACACTGGAAAGATTACTGCCTACTAGACATCGCCACCTGGGTATGCTATTAGCACTACAAACTCAAATATCCAAAATGTAACCTATTATCTTTCCCCTAAATCTACTTTTCCTCCTGATTTCTTTTTTTTTTGGGGGGGGGCTAGGCAATGGGATTAAGTGACTTGCCCAGGGTCACACAGCCAGTAAACGTTTTATGTATCTGAGATCAGATTTGAACTCAGCTCCTCCTGAATCCAGGGCTGGTGCTCTATCCACTGCGACACCTCGCTGCCCCTCTCCTGATTTCTTAACAGCTGTCAATGGCACCATCATTCACTCAATCACCCATGAGTGGTATTGCCTTTGACACTTTCTTTTCCCTAACCTCCTGTCACATCTGTTCTCTCCTCTTTATTTTCACTGCAAGCACTCTCTTAGATCTTCATTGTTAGAAATAATTCCATTACATAGCTTCTACTTTAAAGGCCTCTAATGCTTGGAAAAACTTTCTAATTTCCATTCTTGGATTAAGAAATGGGGAACATTACTGTTTTCTGTCTCTGGTAACAGAAGAAAAGGAAATTCCTACTTCCATCATCTTAATAACTGCTCTCACCACTTCACACCTGGAAAATTGCAATCATTCCTTTGCTGATAACTCTTATCTACAGAAGTGAATTAAATTGAATTTCTTTGTCAAGTCATCTATGCCTTCATTACTGGTTAGGACGATGTAGGGGCCTAAAGTTATTCCTCAAAGAAGGTGTTGTGGTCTATGAGCAAAGCAGAATTGTGGTAGCTTACAAGAAATGTGAGGTGTGAAAAGTTAGAGATATCTTCCTCCCAAATAGTCATATGAACTATTTGTGCCCAGCCTATGGTAGGGCTTTCTAAGCTCCTCTTGGTATGATCAGCCAAAGTCAGACACACTGTACGTTGACCCTGATATTATGATGTTATTTTGGTCCTTTTTGAGCATAAAGGACAAACAACAACAATCTATAGATTCAATTCAATGAAAATCAGTTGAGTGCCTTGTATGTAACATGTATCTAGGGAGACGCAAACAGGGCTCTTTCTAGTCTTCTTCCTATGTCTATGCCCAAATCCATCCTATTATCACTTCTAGATTCATCTTCCCGCTTTGTACACATCAGTCCCCTGCTCAGAAACCTTCACTGTTCCAGGCACTACAGAATAGCAGTCAATACCCTTCACAATATGGTTCCTACTTTCATCAATCAACCAATCAGCTGACCAACCAACATTTCTAGAGCAGATGCTCAGGCTGTACCAGTTACCATATTAAGTGCCAGCGATACAAAAGCCAAAATCAAACAGTCTCTCCTCCTAAGGAGCTTCCATTTTATTTGTGGGAGGAGACAAAACACACACACACACACACACACACACACACAAATAGATATATACAAAATAAATTTTTTGGGGAGGACTACACCTGTGATTTCATCATAGGACCTCCAAGTGAGGAAACTCACTCTCACCAATGCAGATCAGTACCTCCTCTGTAACTTAATATAGTTTTAGAAAGTTGCCTGGGGCATGGAGAGGTTCAGCCACTTGTCCAGGGTTATACCACCAGCATGTGTCAGGGATAGAATTTGAACCCAGGTTTTCCTGACTCTGAGACTGACTCTAATTGCACTAAGCCACATGTTGCATGAATATGGCCTCTCACAAAATACGTTTATGGGAAGAGATCTGTGGGAGCTAGGGAAAGGCTTCATGTAGAAGATGGCAGCTGAGCTGAGTTTGGAAGGGAACAAGAGATTCTTTTAGACTGCAGGCTCAGTGAGAGCAGCAAATGTGCCTTATTCTTTGGATCTCCCAAAGTGTCTGCTATATTCAAAGCATTCAATTAATATTAATTAAATTGAATTTCTTTGTCAAGTCATCAAACCCCTGCATTATTGGTTAGGATGATGAAGGAAGCTGAAGCCATGTAAATAAATGCAGTCTAGACTGAGATATAGACTCTTTTGTTTAAAAAGAGAAAATAGGGGGAGGGATGGGCAGGAGAAGGAAGAAGGGAGAGAATTTGGAACTCAAAATTTAAAAAAAAAAAGAATGTTAAACTTATTTTTACATGTAATTGGGAAAAAATAAAATATTGAATTAAAAAGAAAAATGTTGAACATTGACTATGAGAGCAATAAGCAAAAGGAATTATTATAAAAGGCTTGTTTTTTAACCTTCAAACCTTCTTCTAAGATATTCTCTTATTGGTTTTAAATATAGCCTAAATCCTTTCTTCATATACACATGGAAACATTATTTTCATTTCCTTCTGTATGTGCCCACATTTAATGGGCTCTGGATTGGAAAGAAAATTATTCAAGATCCAAGATCCTATGAAATGTTTTCCAAGTTAAATCTCACCTTTTACGTGTATGTTCTAAATATATCTTCCCATATTGTTAAAATCTAACCTCAGGGATTTTATTTCAGACTGACAGATTCCTCTCTAATGGTAGAAGATTATTCCTCCAAGTTGAGTCCACAAACCAAAAGGGCCAAAAAGAGCCTGGTCTCTAGAGAGGAGAAGGAAAACCAGTCACAAGACTACGTGGTACCTATCTTCTCAGGGCGGTATGTATGTTTTCTCTTTTTGTTATTATCGTTATTGTAGTGAGACTCTGAACTCATTCTTGCAGAATGAAATTGGTCACACCACCTCCTCAGGTTTCCAGGAGTACCCCGAGGCTGTGGGAGTGGTCATCTTTGGATGCTACCAATTCAAACCTCCCCCCCCTCCCCATTCTGGTGCACTCTTGACTGCAGATTTCCAGGGATCAGCATCCTAGCTCCATCCAACCAATCAACATTGATTAGCCTTTGCAAAAGGATACCCACCACCAAGATACAGCAAGAACAGAAGCATAAACACTGCACGCATACACACACACACACACACACACACACACACACACACACAACACACACATACACACACCTGGGGGCACACTCTCCTCAAACTACCCTGGTTCCTATAGAGAGTGGGTCCAAACCCAAAGAAGTTGTTACCCAGTGTTTACCCCATCAAGTTCACCTCTAAATGTGACACAGCTGCTGAATGAATCTGTCTCAGCCACTGTTAGTCTGTGCCCCAAAGGTCTCTCCTTGGGCTCACTTCTGATGGACAAATCCAGCATGGCAGTCATCTTAACCTTTGGAAACTCGTAAGGTCAGAACCGTCTCCAAAACTTCACCTAAAAGCAGGAAACAGCAGAGGCACTTATTCAGGGGTCACATGTGGACCTCTGGTGAGGAGAGCCTGATGCCTTTCCTCATTTACACTAGAGGCTTCTAGAATATCTCTCTGAGCTGAACAGAAGCCCCCAGGAAAGAGAAATGGACAGAGGAAGAGCCTCACTGTGGCTTGTGGTGCCTTTTGAATGCATCCCAGTTCTGGCTCCATAGTCAAGGAAAAGTCTGTCTCTTCACTTCAAGGGCAGCTGAGCAGAACCAGTCCAGAATGTCTGCTCAGGCTCCAAATGAAGGAGCAGGGCCTTTCCATTACATGTCGAAGGAGGCCTCCCAGTCTCTTCCACATGGAGACTGCATCAACCAAGAAAATTGCATGTGTTCACCAGACCCTCCCCCTCCTTCTGCTTGCCCCCCCCCGCCCTTTCCACCATTGCATTATTTTTGTATTTTTGGAGCTTATAAGAGGGGATAGGAAAGGTGGGGGGACATTTCTGAAATCTGGTATTGTAGAAAAGTATGCACGCTCAAGAGCCAGAGAACCTGAGTTCAAAACCCACCTCTGATGCTGTGTGACCTTAGGCTCTCTAGGCCTCAGTTTCCTTATCTGTAAAAGAGGTCATGATACCGAATGGCCTTTGACATCCCTGCCAGCCCTAGTCTATGATACTGTGAACCTGAACTTATATCATTAATAGGTTCTTATTTTCTTTCATGATTTGTATAATCTTTTCTTGTCTTTTGTTTTACTGTTTTTTATGCTCTCCTGTTATTCTGGACATAGCATCCTTCCTAGGAGCAAAAATCAAGGAAATTGTTTTTCTAAAAACCATTTTTGAAAGCTGTCATGTAAGGGACTTTAAGAGCTTTCTCTGAAACTAGTCATCTCAGAAAGACAGGGAGATGCTATATGGAAGAATTTTTTAAAAAACGTATTTCTCCTATGGAATTTCTTAGAACTTGGAAGGACAGCATGCTTGAGATGATACTGATCTGACTGCTAGAAACGGAATAGAGGAAAGGAATATTTAAGTAAAATACTCCAAAAATGAGGAGAATGGGAAGGGTCAGATGACACAACACTATTTAGTTATCCTGAAAACTGCTTTGTTGGGTGATGTTTTGGTTGTTTAATTATTATTTATTAAGAAGAAAAAAGACAGCTGCAAACATGAGCTAATAATTTCATAGATTTTTATCATGGAAAAATTTACTTTATCATTTAACCTTAGCATCAAAGGTTTGGGTTTTGATGGAAAACAAATTGTTTCCTTTTATTTCATGAAGGCAAGCAAAAAAAACCAGGAGAAACAGATCAACTTCCAGCTCAGTGTATTATTCATTACTTTTGTGGTAATTTTCATTTGAACTCCAATAATATTCTAAGGAAGCTTGAAAGGAACTTGACCATGGATCAGAGATCAAAGGCTAAAGGAATCCTCGTGTCCTTTCCTGTTTGTTTTTCTTTGCTGGGCCAATGATTCATGATCTTAAGGTGGCTGACCAAATGTCATTCTCTTAGGCCAAATGACATCAAGAAATGTCATGGAAAAGCAGAGCCTAGATGAAAGTCAGTAGGAATTCTTTCAGTCCCTGATTTGTACTTCTGTGTTGTTCTTTCCTGTTCTGACAGGGGGCCTGCTTTTTGAAGTGTTCCACAGTCTAATGGAACTGTGCCTGGGGTGGGACTCGGGGAACAAATAAAATCCTTTCCTTCACTTCCTTCTGTGTAAGATGTTATTTTTAGCTTATTACTTCAACTCTCTGCTTTTTTAAAGTGAACTTTTTGGGTTAACAGTCACATTTCTTTCTCTAAATATGTTACTGCCTACCTAAGATAATTTAATAGATATTCTTATTTAATAGAACTTCTTACAACCTAAAGTACATATGGATTTAATATGGTATGTATCTTGTTATACCTCCCCCCCCCAAAAAAAGGCTTGGATTTTTTTCACTCCGTTGCATTTTTTCTTTCTCTGCAAATCATCAGCAGCAGACTTTAAAACTATCCCACATTTGTATCGCATTTAGTGAAATGTCTCACAATAGAGGTCCCAAGTGTCTTACATTAAGTCTGCTTTCCTTGCTCTTTCAGCTCTATTGCATCGCATCTCTTAAATAGCATACCTCACATAAAAAAAAAATAATAATGGAAAAGGAGACTCCAGGATTGACTTTCTAAGCAATGTGTGCATGGTTAGGCAGAATCCAAAAAGCGGTTATGCAAGGTTTGGTTTCTTTTTTTTTTCCATATTTTGCCATGGACTGAGATATGTTAAATCCTTTAATTTCTATTCAATAATCCAATTAAAGCATACCACAAGGTAATCAAAGCCTAAATAATCTTTAAAATGTTCCAAAATCTCCAAAAATTCATGTGCAATTTTATTGTCCTTTAAAAAAAACACCTTTTTTTGGAAGGCATCTCAAAACACCACTGCTTTTTGTTCTATTGAATGGAGCAGGCTGTCTTTCCTTTCAGACTTTCCTCCAAGGGCAATGTGCCTTTCTTGGCAGCTAGGTGGTGCACTGGCTAGAGCTCTGGACCTGGATTCCTGAAAACATGAGTTCAACTACAACCTCCCACACTAGCTGTGTGACTGGGCAAATCACTTAACCTCTGATTGCCTTACTTTCCTCATCTGTAAAATGGGGATAATGACATCACTTACATAGCAGGATTTTTGTTTTTGTTTTGAGGATGAAATGAGATATGAATTTTAAAGCACTTTACACCATGCCTGACACACAGAAAGCACTATAGAAATGATAGCTATTATTATCAATTATTAACACACACCAAAGAAGTATCTATTCATATAACCCCTAACGGGTATAATAACACAAACAACAATAATAAAAAAAAAGTAGTGCTTTAAGATTTGCAAAGCCCTACAAATATTATTTCATTTTATTTTCACAAGGATGCTGCAAGGTAGGTGCTATTATAATCTCCATTTTATAGTTGAGGAAACTGAGACAGGCTTCCATAGAGTAAACCAGGCAAATTTCCACAATGTTTGACAGTAGGTTAAGTTTCTAGTGACAATATCTCCCTTCTCCTTTCCTTTCAGTCTCTCTGTCTCTGTCTCTGTCTCTTTTCTCTCTGTGTGTCTCTCTCTGATTTTCTTCAGAAATTAGAATCATAGAATATTATAATTGCAAAAGATTATAGGAAGTATTGAGACCAGGTCCCCATTTTGAAGATGAGACAACTGAAATGGAGAAAAATGAAGTGCCTGGCACATAAAGGCACTTAATGAATGCTAGTTGACTGACTTGCCTGAGCAGATTCAGTGAATCAGTTGTAGAGGTGGGTGAGAGCTAAGGGGAAATCCATGAAAGTATATCCTTTGAATTTATAAGAGGTAAGGTCCACCAAGGCCACAATTTGGGTTTGTTAAATTCTAGGACAGTGAAGAAAAGTTGGATCTTTTCTCTTCAACATTCAGCCAATGCATGCATACATTACCTATGTTATAGAATTAGATGTCAAGAATATATAAATATAATATCTGCATGTGCTCTGTTCATGGTGCTAATCCTCCCTCAGAAAGGGATAACAAAGCAGGCGGATCTGTGTTACTTATTCACTATAATAGGGCTGAAGCAACTCTAAATTCTGAAACCCTGACTTTTTAGTGTAACTAAAATTGGCTGCATCCTGTCTAGAAGAAACACCCAAGGAAGTTGCAGAAAAGAGACTGAGAAACATTCTAAAAATAAAACTTTTTTTTTATTTTAAAAATAATTTTGAGGCCACCGTGATTAATGCAAATAATGACTCCTGTGAAATGGTTGTATTATTTGAATTCACAGTGCATACTTCCATTGGGCTGGAACCAGTACCATACTTATTTTACATGCAACTAATTATAACTTCAAATAGTGTGAATTCAAATAATGTGACCACTTAATGGTATCCATTATTCCTGATGATAGCTTTACAAAATGCATATCTTAAGGGGTCAGTGCTTCTTATGGAACTTTGTTTTTCTCCTCTTTCCACAACCATCCACTAACAAACAAAAACATTCTGACAGGATGCAATTAATTAGAAATGACCTTGCTATCAGTAAATTGAATGATTATTTTTTGTTCTAAATATATCCATTGGAAAAAAAAAAGTTTTGTTGATGCTTTAGGGGTTTTATTCATTCCTGGTTGGAGATCTGGTCTTTTCCATTACCAGTAATGGAAAGCTGTTTAGCAAAAGTAACTGAACACTGGCCCTGTCTGACAATTTCGGAAATGTTTTGTCTCTGCGGTTTCCTGCTACTTCGCTGGCAGTAAGGCAGCATTGTCAATTTGACACTTCAGCGCCCTCTTGTGGGGAGTGTTTGAGGAGCAGCTTTTAAGGGCATGAAGGAAGCATGCGCAATGACTACTTGTCTAGGAATACAGAAATTCTTTTAGTGTCTTGATAATCTAGGAACTTTATTCAATTTTTCCTTCAAGAAATTATGCTAAAACCTTACCTCCAGGAGATAGCTCAACATGCTCTACAACAGCTTGCATGCCTTTTACTGTCTATCCTCCCTGACCAAGACTGGCTATTACAGAGCTGATCAGTTTCCCAAACAAGAACCGAATAAATCCAATAGAGTTGTTTTGAGTTTTTTGGTGAGGCAATTGGGGTTAAGGGACTTGCCCAGGGTCATACAGCCAGTAAGTGTTAAGTGTCTGAGATGGGATTTGAACTCAGGTCCTCCTGACTCCAAGGCCAGAGCTCAGCCACCTAAACAAAGTTATTAAGTTGAAAATGTACACACATTGCATTGTCTCAGAGAGTTAGACTGAGCCTCGTGGCTGATTTAGTTAGCGTAAAGTCCGTTACTTATTTCTCCATGTAATTGCTCTGAATATTGTACCTGCTTGTTTTTAAGAATCCAACTCCATCAAACTATGGATCAGGAGTTTAGGCTTCAAACGGAATGCAGATTTGATAATAATAATAACAGTGAGTATTTATATGGAACTTTAAGGTTTGCAAAGCACTTTACAAATACTATATCATTTAATCCTGGATAACCCTGGGAAGTAAAGGTTATTATTATTCTCATTTTACAGATGAAGAAACTGAGGCAAATGAAAATCAAGTGACTTGTCCAGGGTCACAGAGCTAGTAAGGATCTGAAGTCAAATTTGAACACAAGTCTTCCTAACTCCAGGTCCAGTATTCTATCCACTCCACCACCTAGCTGCCTAACTTTAATATTCTTGAAAATTTATTTATTTACGTATAAAATTACATTTAAACAAACCAAGGAAGCATACTTTTTTAGCTGAAGACATTGGTATATGGGTATCGAGGTTGCCTAGTGGATAGAATACCAGGGCTGGAGTCAGGAAGACCTGAGTTCAAATCCAGCCTCAGACACTTGTTAGGTATGTGACCCTGGGCAAATCATTTAATCTTTATTTCTTCATTTGTAAAATGAGCTGGAGAAGGAAATGGCAAACCACTCCAGTATCTTTGCTAAGAAGATCCCAAATGGAGTCCGACGTGACTGAAAAACAAAAACATTCATGTGTCCCTTTGAAAGGTGAAAAAAAATCTTTGCATAATGGAAATAACTATGGTTTGTTTGTTTTTTTTGGTCGAGGAAGTTGGGGTTACGTGACTTGCCCAGTGTCACACAGCTAATTAAATGTCATGTCTGAGATCGGATTTGAACTCAGGTCCTCCTGATTCCAAGGCTGGTGCTCTACCCACTGCCCTACCTAGCTGACCCAACTATATGTTTTTCAAATGAATACTTCTGTGTGGTATGCATATGGAATTTGGTACAAAGGGCAAAAATGGGGATTTGGATGCTCATTCATTGAATTTGTATTTTTTAATTTAAATTTTAGCCAGGTAAACGTCAATGGAATCACTGATACAGAAGAAGAAAGAATTAAAGAAGCTGCTGCCTATGTTGCCAGGAGAAATCTATTGGCCACTGGTGAAGGCATCACCACCACCAAGCAGTCCACGATGTCTTCACAGCAGGAGGAGCTTTTTGAGAAGAAATCTAGGAAAGTGGCCATACGAGAGAAGGCAGAACGCCTGGCACTGAGAAAAACAGTAAGAGCATACAAATAGGTCATGTTGCCGAAGGAGAACATGCATGTAATCTGTTTTAGGTATTCAATTTCCCTCAAATGCTAAAACACATGAAACTGCAGGGGTTAAGGGAAGTAGGAGTGAAAACAAAATAGAAAATCAAAGGAGATAAGTTAAACATTTCTCAACCTCATGTTAAACTCTGAAACACTTTAAAGATCATTAAGAAATCCATTTAAGGGGGCAGCTAGGTGGTACAGTGCATAGAGCTCCAGTCTTGGAGTCAGGAGGACCTGAGCTCAAATCTAACCTCAGACACTTGACACTTAACTAGCTGTGTGACCCTGGGCAAGTCACTTAACCCCGATTGCCTCAGCAAAAAAAAAAAATCCACTTAAGGGAGGGAGAATCCCTTTCTCTTGATTAGGGTTAAGAAAACCTTAATGAGCTTTAAAGCCTCGCAGAAACCATTTGCCAAAGCTATGAAAGATCATCAGAACAAATTATCATCTTTTAGGAGCAAACTTGAGGCTCAGAATGAAAGTCAAACATAATGGTTTAAAATTGTGGTTTATTCATCATTTTTTTTTAGGGAGATAGAATATTTTGCTTTTGGAATTGTTTTATTGACATGTTTTTTTCAGTTAGAAGAGACTGAGGAATTTCATAGAAAGTTGAATGAAGACAGTCTCCTCCATGCTCCTGATTTTGTCATCAAGCCTCGTTCCCACACTGTCTGGGAGAAACAGAATGTCAGATTACACTGCTCTGTGTCAGGCTGGCCAGAACCACGGCTCACATGGTAGGTTGCACCTTTGTAAGAATTATTGATAGAAACAATAGACATGACTTCTAATCTAGCTGTTACCAACAGTGGACTCGAATAGGACTACCAGTGTGTAAAAATCAATGAAGACAGTTTTTGGTTTGAAGGATTGTCAGGAGGGATTATGATGCTGGACTGTGTACCTTATGCAAGAGAAAGAGAATGCTTTAATGATGATGACATTACTGTTTCCACATCTTACATACTTGAAAGTTATTGAAAGCCTCTTAAATAAAATAAAAATCTATGGCCACAACCAGAATAGAGGGAGAACCTGAGAACTCTAATAAAATCCCTTTACCCTTTCCTGACAAGGTTTGCAAATACGTAATCATTTTGACCAGAAGTGATGCTCTACTGTTTTTCCTTTAAAAGAAAATATAAATCTTAAAAAAGATAGCTACCTATGCCTACTCCTATGTGCCATCTCTGACCCCACTGTGCCTTCTCATATGCACCAGAAAAAAAATTAGGTTTGAAAATATCACTTATTAAAGGGGCCAGCAAAATCATCCTTTTTGCCCCCAACAAAAGAAAATGGTCTTTTTCTCTTTAGTGTTCTTCTATAGTTGTCTAATGTCTTTCTGAGCCCTACATTGCAAAACAACCTACAATAGGCATTCGGGCTCTGGCCACAGCCAGCAGGCTCTGGAAAGAATTAAGCCAATTTAAAAAGAAGCTTTTTCTTTTTAATCCTTTGACACCAGTGACATGTGTGTTTTGTGTGGTGTTTCCTTTGTCCTCACACGTGATGTGGAGAACAATGCATGCTGAAAGAATAAAAGATACATGAAAGTGAATATTCACCCGTGGAATTTCTTCCTTTCATTCCTATGATAGTCAACACTTCTGACCACTAATAATGAAGATGGATGAAATCATTCATATTTTAGGAGCAATTTTGTAATTATACACACATACACACACACACAAATCCATTTGTGAAAGCATCTGTAATTGGTTACATACTGGTTTTTCTTACTTTTGTATAAACCATTTCATTAGCCTCGTAAGCTGGAAACCCAGAGAATGGAAACTAAAGTCAGTTATCAATTATCAATGCAAATAATAGTGAGATCAATCAGAGATTAGATGTTTAGTGACATCATCTAGTGCAGCAAAAAACTTTTTCAATCATCAGGCTTTAGTTCATAAAAGGCCCTAGCTATGGTTAGGAACAAATTCTCCTTATGCTTCATCCTTCCCCATTGTTGTAGCAAGGTACACAATCAAAACCACTTCCATTTCTCATGGAAATTGATAACTCTTCAGATTATTTGGTATAGATTACAGTCATTTCCTGTTGAATGTTGAGTTTTTCCAGTGGAGGGGACTAGAGGAAGACGTTTTGGTGAAGAAGATAGTAGTCACTGAAATGACAGAGAGAGAGGGAAAGAGAAAGACAGAGAGAGAGAGAGAGAGAGAGAGAGAGAGAGAGAGAGAGAGAGAGAGAGAGAGAGAGAGAGAGAGAGAGAGAGAGAGAGAGAGAGAGAGAGAGAGAGAGAGAGAGAATTTAAGTTCTTACTATGTTCTTAAATTAATGACTATTCAATCATAAGCATTTTTAGTCTTTCTCATTAAAAGCCATGAGGAGGTGACTTTTGGCACATTTTTATCTCAAAAGTGCTCTATTGCTAATAAAAAGCTTCCCTCTACCACGCATATACAGCAGCATAAAAAGTCTAAAATATGTATCAATACATGGCATATCTGGGGTCCCTTACAGAGAGATGGACTTACTGCACAGTGTTCTATGTGTTTCCACACTCTTGTTGGAACTAGTAATGGTTTACCATGCCCCAAATGATCTTCGTGATTTAAGTATACGTTTTGTCAAAGTTGATATTTTGCTAATGGCTATTCCTCAAATGGAATAGAAACCTTTTTTGCAACATACCAGCTATATTTAAGATTGAGTGAGGACAAATGGGATAATTGTTTTTGGGGAACAATAAGCAACGATGCATACTGATCTCCCTAAATTACATTTAGGTTCCATACAGATTGCCAGTAAAAAATCAAAATAAGTTCAAGTAGAGATGGAAATCTAGAAATTGTCAAGAGCAGAACTGCCCGACACACCTGCCCATGATAGAATTTCAACCATATTAGGAATAAGAATATTGTCAGCCTCTTTTTAGGCATATGAATCAAATCTAGTAGAGGTGTGGGCATCTTAAACCTTCACTTTGGCATTTGGTATGCTTATTTCACCCACATTTGAATACAAATGTGGCTCATGACCTTCAAACAATTCAATCAAACATTTGTTACATACATATTAGGATTAAGGCTTTGTGTGAGGAAATAAAGGTGAAAAACCAAAATGTCTTTGGCCTTAAGTACTTTTGCTCCAATAGAGAGGGGGTTGAGGGGTGAGAGATACAAAATTTGTGTATTATCACAGTGATAATAGTGATAATAACTGGCATTTATATTATGCTTTAAGGTTTGCAAAACACTCTATGTATGGTATTTCATTTGATCCTCACAACCCCAAGAGGTAGGTACTATTATTATCCCATTTTACAGATGAGGAACCTGAGACTGAGAGGAGTTATGTGACTTGTCCACTAACACACTACTTGTAAATGTCTGAGGCAGGATTTGAAATCAGGTGTTCCATACTCCAAGTCCAGAACGCTATCCACTATGCCACCTAGCTGCCTAGTTGTATTGATACAGGGTGACAGCGATATTAATGCCCACATATTTCTTGTAGGATTACATATTTCCTTGCAGTAATCCCGTGAGCTAGGCAGACCAAGAATTATTCTTCCGATTTTAAAGGTGAGGAAACAGTCTCAGAGAGGTAAAGAGTATAGTCAAAGGTCACACAGCTAATTAGGGTCAGAACCAGCATCTGAAAACCTAGGTTTCTTGACTCTCTGGGTGACAGGAGAAAATGAGAGATAAAGACAAAATTATCTAAAAAAATAGAGAAAGAGAGCCACTGCTAGGTTGGGTATCAGGGAAAGCCTCTTAGAAAAGGCAGTTCCCCTTTTAGTCCTCAAACAATAGAAGGATTTCAACAGGTTGATATGAGGAAGAAGTATCTTCCAGGCCTTTGTGAATTTGCTGAGATAAGAGGGTACAAGATAAAATAGAGGGAAGAATTTTTCAGTTTTGCTAGAAGATTGAATGTAGAAAAAGAGTCATATGAAATAAAGTTGAGAAAGTAAGTCACAGCTAAATTTCAACAGTCCTTGATTGCCAAGTTAAAGAGGTATTTTATCTCATACATAATAGGGAGCCATTGAAGATTCTTGAGTAGGAGACTGACATGGTGGACATGTTTTAGGAAACTTATTTTGGCAATCAGACAGTGAAAATCTGTCTCTGGAGGTAACAAATTTCTCCATCATAACTCCTTCTTAATTTATCCCTAAAGCCTACTCTATGCTGGAATTAGCACCAAGCTAAGTGAAACTATGATACCTTCTGTGAAATTTTCCCTTGAGTCAGAATGATAGCTAAGTATTTGGTTTTCATAGGTCTTACCTACTGATATGAAAACTTCATGGAAAACTAAAATGAAGAGCCAGTTGTCAACAAAACAAGTAACTATTTCATAACTATTATAGATAGTATCAATAAATCTGAAAGATTTTCCTCTGATAAACCAAAATGTGAATAATCCCCTGGAGCATAATTAATAATTGACTATAGTATTCAACTATGATAAAGTATAGTTCCAAATTCCCTGGATTCCCTGGAATGGGATTCCTAGATTTCCTGGACTGAGCACTTTTTAGAAACTATAAAAATGCCCTAGATAATTTCAATTCAAGTATAGAAAATACAGTTTTCAGAAAAATGTCATTCCCTTACAATAGCAAAGGAAATTTAGAGTTTATGATTAGCTGATTTTTTAAAGCCCCATTTAAATATTACTACCTTTTAAAAAGAAAAATCACAGTTATTTCCTGATATGTTCACAGATTATTCCCAATTACAGAATTTAAGCTTAAGTAACAGGTGGGTAGGTTGCCCAGTGAGTAGAGCTCTGAGCCTGGAGTCAGGAAGTCCTGGCTTCAAGATGAGACCAAAATTTGGCCTCAGACACTTACTAGTCACGTGACCCTGAGCAAGTCACTTTACCCTGGTTTACCTAAGTTACCTCAACTGTCAAATAGGGATTATAATAGGATCTACTGTCCAGGGTTGTTGTGAGAATCAAATGAAATATTATTCGCAAAAAACTTAGCACAGTGCCTGGTGCATAGCAGGCACTTAATAAAATGCTTGTTCCCTTTCTGACTGACAAAGCAAATCTGATGATATAGACACCATATAGTCCAACCTCCTCGTTTTACCAATAAGAAAACAGACCCATAGACCTCAAATTCATCTAGGTGGCAAAAGAGACACTATTTAAACTCAGGCCCTCTTATTCCAAATACATTGCTTTTCTTAAGAAAGCCTATCTGTCTTGGAATTAGCATCTCAGCAATAAGCTTTACAGGTGGAGTACCTAAATACAGTATCACACATAGAAAAAAGTTTCCTTTTGGGGGGGGGGGGTGCTGCCGCTCCTCTTCATTTTCACCACCAGCTCCTGTTCTCTTTTGGCTGACAAGGAAAATATAAAATGGTGAAGGAAATAGAGGCACCACCTGCGCAGAATGGAGATGGAAATGTTATGGTGGAAAGAGCACTGGTCCTATCATCAGAGGACCTGGATTCAAATTCTGCTTCTGATACTTGCTGCTGGCGTTACCTGGGACAAGTCACTTAATCTCTACTTGGACTTCAGCTCCCTCATCTATAAAATTAGGAGGTTGCTCTAGATGGCCTCTGAAACTCCTTCCAGGTAGAGATCTATGAACCTACATAGAGGGATGCCCCAGTTCTGCAGTGAGCCATGGAATTCTAGTCTGATCTGGAAGAGACCTTAGCAATTTTTCATCAGATCCAACCCTCTAATTTTAAAGATGAAGAAACTAGGGATTTCAGAGGTCAAGTGACTGGCCCAA